GCGCACATGCGCGCGCACACACACACACACACACACACGCACACGCACACGCACACGCACACGCACACGGGAGGGTAGTAGGTGGGGTGAGGCCATAAACTCCCAAAGCCCAGACCCCAGAGTGACACTTCCTCCAGCAAGGCCACACCTCCCCATACCTCACCAAATGTGCCATCAGCTGACATTCTCATTCAAACCACCAAGAGTTGCTTTTGTCAGGTATTTTGTTAAAACAATATTGTTACATCAGTGACAAAAAGAAAAAAGTAGCTAATATTCCACCAAACAAACAAGCATACTCTACTTGAAAATTCAGCTGTTAGGGCCCTGTGAGTAGAGAAACTGAGTAGCCACTGGTTTTCCAATGAGGCTTCCAACAGGGAGATGGATTTCCCCACAGGACTTCATTTAATAGTACATTTTCAGCCATTATGGTGGTGAGTGCCTCTAATTCCAGCACTAGAGAGGCTGAGGCAGGAGGACTGCCATGAGTTCAAGGTGAGTCAGGGCAACATAATGAGTCCCAAGGCTACATAGCAAGATTCTTCCCCCCAAAAAATGATGTTTTCTGCTAAGACCCTTTTATACACTGATCTTTGACCCCAGACAAAAGGACTGTACATTAAACAGGTGTCCAATAGGCTAAGTTCAAATTCAGATGTTGGGGACATTATTTTAAATAAGCTATTTAGCTTACTGTAGTTTTCATTTGCTCATTTATAAAGCGGGAGTATATATTAAAATATTCAGCAAACATGGGTTCAGTTCATTCCCTATTTCATGAGAATAGAAGGCAGGAGGAAGGATTTATTTTATGATATGAGCTCAGAGCATGGAACAATGAAACTGGAAAACTGGACATTTTCACGGGAGGAAGAGGGGAAAGGAGAGAGAGAGAGAGAGAGAGAGAGAGAGAGAGAGAGAGAGAGAGAGAGAGAGAGAGAGAAGGACACACATACAGAAGAGTATGTCTTGGGGTTTCTACTTTATTGATTATAGACCCTCTAGTGCATTTCTTGAGATGACAAGAATAGACACTGGGATGACTGCCTTCTAGTGTACAGCCAGGTATAAGAGAAAAGATGGTTTCTGGCCTTTGCTACTCAGCCAGGCCAGAGAGCAGCACAATTGGTCCCAGTGCCTAGAGCAGGGAACTTCAGCCTAGAGCAGGGTTTCAGGAGGCATCTTGGCTCTTTTTTTGTTTGTTTGTTTTGTTTTTCGAGACAGGGTTTCTCTGTGTAGCTTTGGAGCCTATCCTGGCACGCTGGAGACCAGGCTGGCCTTGAACTCATAGAGATCTGCCTGCCTCTGCCTCCCGAGTGCCGGGATTAAAGGCACGTGCCACCAATGCCCGGCCGAGGCATCTTGGCTCTTAAAGAGTCTCAATAGAAGTTGCCGACTCTGCTGCCCATTGGACAGGTAGCATGTAAGACTTCTAAACCATGCCAATACATTCAGAAGTCCAGGCTCAAGGCCCACATTCTCTCAGGGCATTTAGTGTGGTCACACCATCTTCCAATTCGGCAATGTGCAGTTCTTAGTAATTCTGTGATTGTATAGTTCTTGGTAGTTGTTTACTTCTCAGGATTTTTCTAGCTTCTTCATTTTCCAAATCATTCACAAAGGTGCCGAGATAAACCTCAACATTTCGGTATGAGTTGTTGTTCTTCCTTTGACTAAGCATGCCCCATACCCTGATGAAAATATTCCATGACACAGAGCCTTGAACTCTGGCTTGTCTCCTGCTCTCAACTCCCAGGAGGCCGTAATGTGCAAATAGACTCTGAGAATGAAGAGAAGGGGTGTGGGAATCAAGACAAAGGGGAAAGAGGAGATGTACTGTGACTGAGTCTGGGGACCTTGGAACACGCCCCTTCTCCAGATATCACCGACGGTGAGCACAGCTAAGGATCTATTATGATCTGCTTGCTTTACATAATGAAATCGTTACCCAAGCTGGCCTGGTGGGATAACTAACTGGGAGGCTGAGGCTGAGACTGGAGGATCACCAAGTCAAGGTTTATCCAAACAACACAGAGAGTTGATGGCTAGCCTGGGCGGCTTGCCTGAGAACCTGTCTCAAAACAAAAATGCAAAGGGGATGCACACTCATGAATAAACTCTTAAACAACAAACAAATGAACAGTTACATAACATCCTTCATAAGGGACTTTGGTTTTTTTGCCTATAGTTTGTCTGTCTGGCTCTGGTGTGAGGAAAATTTGGTGGCCTCATAGAATGAACAGAGCAATGTTCCTTCCTTGAGTTTTTGAAGAGTTTTCGGATTTGTGTCTATTTCTCAAATGTTCAATAAAATATGCCAATAGAACTATCATTTCTAGGTAATTTCTTTGGGGAAACAGTTTTAATTATTGATCCAAGCTCCTTATTATTTATCTTCGGTAATCTATTGTGATTTCTTTTACCATATATTCTATAATAAAACTGGGGGACGAATATAAAGATAAGAACCTGAGATAATCTCAACAACACAGGCACACTCACCATTCACTTCCTTGGCTTGAAAAGGCCTCAGTACCCTCCTGGCCCCGCCTTCTCTTTCCCCAGACTTCTCTTTCTCCAGTCCATCCATTCTGACCAGCTGAATGTGAACTCTGCCTCTTGAACCAAAGCCTGATTCCACTAGATACTGGACCAATACATAGATAAGATTGCCATAACAGAAATCTGCATAGATTCTTCATTTAAATTCATCTTAGAAAATTCTCAGGAGTCTGTCCATTTTGTTGATCTTTTCCAGAGGACCTCTAGATTTCATCGATATTCCTTACTTTATATTCCCATACAAGCCATCTTTTGACATTGCAAGACAATAGACTCCAAAGTTCTGAACAAATTATGAACAAACTCTGCCAGTGTAATTGTTCTCTGGGTGGGATGCAAATCACTGTTGCTTTCTAACCTACCATCTACCCAAAATCTTTTTTTTTTTTTTTTTTGACACATCGTTTCTCTGTGTAGCATTGTAAACTCAAAGAGATCAGCCTTCCTCTGCCTCCCTAGTGCTGGAATTAAAGGCATGCACCACCACTGCCTGGCTCCAAAATCTTCTTTAAAGACACATTTTAACTCTTTCATGAGGTTGGAACAGTAGAAGACGTATCAAGCAAGTTCAGAAGAGACGGAGAAGATAAAATTTTAAGTTGGATGCTTAGAGATAAAGACTATAACTCACACATGAGAAATTACAATGGGAGTGAATAAAAGCAGGATAGAAGCCACAGAAGAGAGAGCAACAGAGACTACACGGAATGAAACACGCAGGGAAAACACTGGAAAAACTGTAGACGGCCCAGCACACATGAAGCTGCAAACATCCAAGGAGGAGAAACAGGAGGGACAGGAAAAAAAAATTGTCCAGACTTTCCCAAATATAATGACTATATTCCCACAATTCCAAGCATATCGGTGCATAACAAGACTACAGCATGAGCCATACCAAAATCAGGTAGGTGAGAACAGTCAACAGATCTTCCATGCTGCCCGACAGTTGATGCTAGCAACAGTAGGCTGCTCCAGTTTCTACTTCTACATTTTCAGAAGCAAAGTCCTCGCTCTCCCTGCTCCCACAAGATCCAGCATCAACAGGCCAGAAGCCCCTCTTCAAAGTTCTCTCCTCCAACACAGGTGTACCTACACATCACAATGCTGCTCCTTGGAGGTTCAAATCCAAATCCCACGGGCTGTGCTTCCCATGTCTCTGAGTTCAAACGAACACAGCTTTACCTTTGAATCCTCCCAAGGTGTGGGATCTGCCTGTTACTCCTCTGTGGAGGCTTGGGGCTCTCTCTTTCCTCCTTCTAACCAATAATCCATAAGAAACATTCATTCTCCTACACATGTTCAGATAACAGGGAAGGATAATTATACTGTGTTAGGAAAAACTCGTAAGCTTTTTATTACTTTTATGTGATTTAAATACATACAGAAAAGGAAGCCAAGAGTCTGTATGCATGCAGAAGCTGGAGCTGCATGGCCCTTTGTGATTTGGGGCTTTACCATGTGGTAGTCCGACAGAGACTACCAGGGAGAGAGGATCAGAGTTTGGGGGACGGGGCGGGGTGGGGTGGGGTTGGTGATAAAATTGCCTTGGTTTATTTCCCATCCCCATCCCCATCCTTGGGTCTCCACACCTGCCAGCGGTGGTGACAACAGCAGCAGTGGGCACACATCTCTGGTTCCCTTTCTCAGACCTCCCGGCAGCAGCCTCCTGAAGAACGGAGCACCAGCTGAGCTCTCTTGAGGTCTATTGACTCATGAATCTACCTGTTTCTGAGAGCTGATCATCAGAGGCCCTTTCGCAGCTCTGTGGGCTCGCTCTTCAGATTTTCCAGTGACCAAACTCCTCAGCCATCTGAGCGCAAGCTCCGACAGGACCCTCCCTCAGCCTTCTAAATTTCACCACTCTGCAGTGTCCCCGAGCGCACTGACCCCTGTCACCGCTGCTTCTCTGACACATTCCCTTTGTATCTGAACATACACGTATCAATCACAGCACTTCTTTTTTGGATCTGCTACTTTCCAAGCAGGTTAGCTTAATATTTTGATTTTGACTTTCAGAGTTTTTTTGCTTTTTGTTGTTGTTGTTGTTGTGTTCCCAGTGAAGGCGGGTTTTACAGAATGTAGGAGAGCTAAACTACATCTTTGTCCTCTCCCCTCTGCTCAGGCTGATGTGGAGACAGACGGAAGATGAAGGCTGCCAGTCCCTTCGTCACCTTTGCAAACGCGGCCCCTAAGAAGTTACAAATTTGCTTGCAGCAGAGATCAAAAACAAATACAGTGTGCAGGAGCTTTCATTCTGTTGGCAACTTGACTTGATGCTAGAAGGCAGGAATGATGAGACCAGGGAGGTGTAAAGCGGAGGAACATGCGAGCGCATCCTAGGCCACACAGACACACTGAAGCCTTCTTTCTGTGCAAGTGACCTCTGCTCTCATTCTGCTAATCCAAACGCCCAGTCTACAAAGCAAACGCCTTCATGTTGATGAGATAGAAGCTATTTATTAATATACAGCAATACTGCTTATTGCAGACTCTTTCCAGCTGACTCAAGTGAAAAAGGCACTATGAAAAATTAATGCATCTAGATAATCTCTCTAAATGGATTTGTTAAAATATACAACATTCTTACATAACATCTTCTTTATATATGTGAAATAATATTACATTTAATGACAAAAATCGTGTTTCCAAAAATAATATTTGTTGAATGTTAGCTATTTTTCTTCTCTCTATCTAGATTCTTTCATGGGGTTAAAGTACATGTAAATTAAGTGTCCCTTGTTACACAGATAAAACACATAAAACGACCCAATATCCTTTTACTACTTATATCAATATTTATAACTGAGGCTTTTATTAAGCAAAATACTGTAATAAACACCAACGTGGGCTACTTTGTTTCATTGATTGTGAGTGTTCGTGACTTACTTCCCACTGTGCTTTCCCATATTTAATTACACAGTATATATAATAAGCAGAATATAAACTAAATCAAAGTACAATCTATGCAAGACTTTACAACTGATAGGGCTTCGAGGAGCAAAACGTCTTGAGAACGTACTATAGTCTCCTATTTGCACATTCAAGGTCTGGCTACATTGTACAGCTCATGTGATTTCTTTAAAACTGTTGGCATTAAGAACTTTAAATAAACCTAAGGATGCTGCCATTAGGTATGTCAGAGGAGAGATCTTAAGTAAGCAGAGGGTAGTCTCACTGAGCTTCTTCCCTGGATGACAGGCACCTCAGTCACAGAGAGCTGAGTAGGTAGACTTAGTCATCAATGGCCGTGAATACATTCTCCACAGTCACAATAACCCTACACAGATCACGAATGAGGCTGAGATAATTAATGGAGCAAAAAAGGGAAGCACACCTTAGGAAAGTGGAAAAAAATGTTTCCCAAGGTCAAAACAGCTTAATACTTTTCTTTTTAATTTACATTGCCATTAAAATTCTTTTAATTACCCTTGTTATTTGCTTATTGATGTATGTGTCAGAGGACAACTTGGAAAACCTAGCTCTCTCCTTCTGCCAAGTAGGTCCAGGGACTGGAACTCAGGTCATCGGGCTTGGTGGCAAGTACCTCTACTTGCTGACCAACCAACCTCATCTGCCCACGTCTCGGCTTTTAATCAAAACGATGGGTGTAGAAGCAGCAAGTCCCCTGCTTGCTCAGGTATACACTGTTTTTTTTTTTGTTTTTGTTTTTGTTTTTATGGCGATAATATACATATATCAGGACAATGGATTTGACATTCCCTTCAAGGCTTCTGCAAACAAAGCATGTCCAACAATGTCGAGAGTAATGGAGTTCCCCGCGTCAGTGACCGCTCCCCTCGTCAAAAGACTCCACTCCCGAGTCGCTGGCTGCCGCACTGATCTTCTCCTGACGTCTCCTCATGATTTCCTGTAACTCAGAGCTCCCGTTGCTGTCCTATAAAATAAACATGGATCGGACAACACAGTTACTGGCTTGTGTGAAGTTGTAGTGGTTGTTCCCATCGAATCAAAGGGCTCAGAGGCAAAGTCCATTGTGGGGCCCCCAACTATTTCTTCAAGAAAGCAGGAGCTTTCCCTCCCCTGCCAGTGCGGTCTCTAGACTTCAGCAGTGTAACACATGAATAACTCTCTTAAGACAAGTCACTCACCATCACTCACCGTGCCTTTCAATCTAACATGAAAACACATCAAAAATGCATGTAGAATGTTCTAGACTTGCCTGTAGAATGAGGTTATGTGGACAAGGAATCAGTTACCAAAGAGCACTTTGCATGCATATACATGTTTACGTATGTGTGCACATGTGTGTTCAGGTACACATGTCTAAGTGTACACATGTATGTCGAGGTCAGAGGTCAATGTTACTGTCTTCTCAGTCACCCTTCACAGTATTAATTTCTTTCTCTTTCCTTTGAGGTAGAATTTTACTTTATGGCCCAGGCTGCCCTGAATCTCACCGGGGCCCTCCTGCCTCTGCCTCTTGAGTACTGGGATGAAAGGGATATGCCGCCACTACTGAGTTCGTGGAGACAGAAATCTCAGACTACACGTGAGGCTCACTGGTCAGTTGGCTGGCCAGCCCCAGGAATCCTCCTGTCTCTGCTTTCCCACTGCTTATGCAGCCAAGTATGCCTTTTCCCTGGGCACTCAGGATCTGAACTAGGGTCTTCATGACCACAACAAGGACTTTATCGATTGAACCACCTTTCCATACCTCCCAAGAACTGTCTGCCAAGCAAAGCACTCATTTCCACTTCAAGATTTTAAAGGGTGTCTTCTGAACACATCGTTTCCTTCAGACAACTCTGCCCCTCTGATCGTGCTTGCTTTGCTCACCTCCCAGCTCTCCCTAGAATCCCCGGGGATGTCTCCTTATTCCTTCTGATGACTGAAGGCTCTGGCGACAAGTGGGGGTGAGAAACTATGTGAAGGACTGGATCCAAGAAAGTGGTGAGGCGGGAAGGTAGCCAAGAAGCATTTGGAAACCTGGCATCAGTTTTGCCTCAGAGCAATTGGGAGCAGGAAGTAGGCAAGGAGGGCAAAGATAGTAACAGAATGTCCCGGAAGAAAGGGATCCGGAAACTTTAGGGATGTGGAATTTTCTAACATACCCTTGAGAAGTAATTTACAAGTAATTTACAATCTTAACAAGATTGGAAAGTATAATGGTAATAAAACTGCTTTAGGAAGACATGATTCTTATTCATACTCTATGTATGAAAAGCAATCATCAAACTTGAATATAAAACCTTCCAGATCAATGTTGTAGGAAAGTTCTCAGGGTAATGGAATTTTGCTTGATGGAGAATAGTTACAGGATTATACACATGAAGCTATTTTATCCTGAGTTATTTAACTGTTCAATTTGCATAATATACCTGCTAGGGATAATTAGCTACCAGCTTCATGTTGAGTCCTATAGCCTTTTATTTGAGGCCAACTATAATTTCCACAAAACTATTAACTCTTATAGAGCCAACTTTGAAGAGAGTAGCTTAAATACCTCCAGCTGAACAGACATTCCTTTACTCTCCAGCTGCTACGCAGACAGCTTTGACTAAGTAATTCTCCTAGGGGCTGAATATTTTCTCTTCTCCAAGATTTATTTTATTTATGTGTGTTTGTGTGTTAATGTGCTACATATGCATGTGGTGTGTTCATACACAGGTCTGCCCATGTACATTCAGAGTCCAGAAGAAGTGGCCGATCCCTCAGAACTGGGGTCAGAAGTATTAGTGGGACATCTGGCTCATTAGACAGGTACTGGGATGGGAACCCTGGTTCTCATGATCACACACTCTTAGCTGCTAAGCTGTCTTGCCATCCCACAGCTATGCATTTTTAACGGTCTTTCTTAGTCTTCTTGATTCTGTAGGTGAGTGAGTAGGCTTGGGAAATGCACCCAGGACTTCGGTTTGTTTGAGAAGGGATCTCAGGTATCTGAGAGTCCTTAAACTCACTAGATAGCCAAGGCTGGCCTTGAACTAACCTCTTTGCCTCTACCTCCCGAGGGCTGGCTCATAGATGCGCCACTATCAACCCAGCCACACGTGGGGTTTTATGTGTTTTTATTTTTACTTATGTTTATATGTATATGGGCACATGAACATAGGTGCTCTTGGAGGCCAGGATATAGTGTCAACTCCTGAAGCTGGGATTACAGATGGCTGGTTATGTGTGACCTTTTGTGGGTATTGGGAACAGAACTCAGGTTCTCCATAAAAGCAGGGCATGCTCTTAACAGCTGGGCCATCTCTCAAGCACCCCACAACTAGGGCTTTGTTTATTTACTAATCTGGCATTTCCAAAATAAATAAAAACAAGAAAAATAGTCCTAGCCTCTGAGTTACGCAAGTCAGGTATGAATTTACTTTCTATTAACAAATTGAAGTTTTTATAGGAGCCCATGCAATAAAAATGAGAATATTATGCTTTTGTTAAAATGCTCAGAAATAAATCTCTAGCTGGCCTGAAGACAATCGTTTTTGAAAATAGTCACTGATGGTATCTACTGGCAGAGAAGGAAAAACTGAGCCAAATGTAATTCATCTCTTCAGTGAAGGGAAATTAACTGATACAGACAGGAATATTGGTTCTAGAGCTACCAGAGGCTAGCCCTCACGCTCCTGAGCACAAACACCAGCTCTGTTCCACAAGCCTTACCTCCAAAGCAGCTTTCTGAACGGTGATTTGGCTAAAGACTCTGGCACCTTCAGGGCAGACAGACCTCAGCTCATCTTTATTGAGAGAAAAGAGTTGTGCGCCATTCAACACCCCAAGGCTATTGACAGTCCTGAAATAAAGAGCAGGAGGGAATTACCAGAGTGCTGTAAATGCTAGCAAGGGAAAATGGTGAGCCTTGCTTCAACAGCTAAACCACCTCTCCAGCTCTATCTATCTATCTATCTATCTATCTATCTATCTATCTATCTATCTATCTATCTTCTATCTTCTATCTATTGAGCAATCAATCAATCTATCCATCATCTACCTACCTACCTACTCTATCTCCTATCTACCTATCTATCTATCTATCTATCTATCTATCTATCTATCTATCTATCTATGTTTTTTGAGCGTTCACTTTATTTCACTTCCGAGACAGGGGCTCATGTAGTCCAGGCTGGTTTAGAATTCTCTATGTACCTCAGGTTGACCTTGAACTGCAGATCCTCCATCCCTACTTCCCAAGAGTGGGCTGACAGGCACAGCCCATTATTGTCTGTTCCATGCACTAAGACAGCACTACAGTGCTGAGACAAAGGAATGCCAAGAGGCATCCGTGACCACGACCCAGAGGTTCCTTTCACGCAGAACGGTTAGTGACCAAGCATCTAAAAGGATGCGGTGGGTTTTCTAGTCATCGACTCCCTCAGGTTTCCTGTCTCCGGCAGCAGCAGATAGCTTTCTTGTAACATGGCAACTGACTGACAACTGCACTTCGCTGTCAATTATGCCAAGTGAGTGAGTTTCTAAATTCAGATTCCTCAGACGTGTATTGTTCAAACATTTCATGGTGGCAAACATACAGGAAACATCTACAGCCTTTTAGATCAGAGGGACATAAAGCAGTAAGGATTTCTCTGATTTACAGCCTTGAGACACTCTAGCCCGCAGCAAGAAGTCTTACGCTACACATCCGCATGGTATGGTCTTGCATAACACTGTTTGACCCTGCAAAACTGATGAGAAAGAACAAAGTGCCCACAGTCCTCACAGCTGGTGACAACTGTTCAAGAGACTGGTGAAAAATACAAACGACTGCCCGGAAGACAGACGAGCGTTAGTCACTTCTGTTTTCCCCGATCCCACCTTTTTCTTCGTTGCTTTTAAACAGCTAGCCACCGTTTCCTGAATACGGGACAAAGAATGCCACCTGGGCTCTTACAACTTTTAAGAGTCATGGGTGGCATGGAAGTGACCCAGCTGAGTAGGCGGGCCTGTGAGCCACCCGGGATACTCACACGGGGTTAAATCCTTTCGTCTGCAGCCAGGTCTTTACTTCCTCTGCTGTGGAGTCGTAAGTGATATTGATCACCGGCACGCTCTGCCGTGGCACGTGGAACTTCCTCTGCGCGGCGCTGCGGCCGATGGTGAGCCTCTGGAAGAGCTCGTCCTGCACCTCTTCCATCTGAGACTTCCTTCCTGAGCACCAAAAGGGAGCACACCTGTCAGAGACCTCGAACGTGATGCTCCCTCTAGAACGTCCTCCCTAACCGTCCCCCAACCCCTGAGGGATTTGCCACCCTGATGCTTCCTGCCATGCCCCCCTCACTTGTACCTCAACCTGATACAAATCACCTGACGGGTTATTAAAGTGACTCTCTGACCCTTCTCTTTGCTGTGCCTGCGCCTGCTCAGCCGCACGAGAGACAGCAGCTGAACGCCTCATGTCTGACGAATGATCGGGACTCCCACTAGGCCGTGCATGCCCCGATGACCATTCAACAATGCTTCAAACCAGTGAGATCCCATCAGGGGGCTTGTCTAGACATACTCCCGGTGGTCAATAATGGGGTGTCCAAGGGAGAGGGTTGCTGAGGGGGTGTGTTTCCTCAGTATCTCGAAAGTTACTGGCCGTTCCAGCCTCTTTTCCTGGAAATAGCACCCCTATCCCCCCCCCCCACCACCATGAGGCTCCTTCAGTTTCTCCAACCCTATTTAAAATTGTAATTTCTTCCCCGGAGCACTTCCAATCTACATAGCTATGTTAGTCTCCAAACTGTTGACATTTATTCACCTGCCCTTTCATGAGAATGTAAGCCTGCTGACAAAAAATGGTTCTACTCTGCTTTGTTTGCTCCTGTATCCAACAGATCTGAATGAAAGGGAGGAGGGGTTGTCTTCTGACCTTTTCTCTGAGACCGTGACAGCCATAATGTTATAATCAGGTCAAGAAATGGAGAACAAAGAGAAATGATCTGTCTAAGTGGCTCTGTCAGTTAGAGGTAGAAATTAGCTAGAACCAGATGGTCTGACTTCCAGCCCAGGGCTGTTCTCCACGCACATCCCTCAAACTCCCTTAATGATCTTTCCCACAATCCTTCACTCCTTGTCATGTGCTTATGAATGAGCATAGTGTTATGAGAGAGATGGCAAAGAAGTGAAATAGTATCTCTATATATCAAAAAATACATGTGTGCATTTAGGTATATTGCTATGGTTTTCAAGAACTGATATTAAAATCCAGTTGACTAATTAACTTGTCATGTGGCCATGACCTGCTACCGAGGGAGCTTTTAATGTCATTCAGAGAAAGTGTTTGGTGTCTCTGGGAAGTGAACTGTGAAACAATTAGTGTTAATAGAGTCTAATTTGTACTAGGGCCTCAAGTATGCAAAATGTTATTTTTAGTTAGTTTTATTCTTTGACAACTTCCTATATGTATACAATATATTCTGTTCACATTCATCCCTTCACCCTCTCCTATCCTCATTGTCACCACCCCCCACTCCTGCAGCCACCCTACCTCCAGGTCTTCTTATTTTGCTTTTGCTTTTCGACCTACTGGGTTTCCCTAGGACCACTCACATGGGCTTGAGGGTGAAGCTAGCCCCTGGAGCCCATTGTAACTTAGCGGTGGTTACAGCTCTAAAAATAATGATTTCATGTCCCCCAGCAGCCACCCGTGCCACAGCCTCTTGGAGAGAGGGCCCTTTCCCCATGTAGGGGAAGGTGAAGAAATTAAAGAGAGATACAAAGAAAAATTCAGGAAGGAAGAAGGGAAGGGATACTGTTGATGTATAAGTAAACACCATCTGCACTCCCGTAGCTAACTGTTTTAAATCACTAAGTAGACTGTCATGCAGACAGCAGGTCTGCCTCAAAGTGAAGAGAAATACCACTACACTGAAATACTGCTACACCTTCTTACCCACTGAGGCCTCAAGACCACGGTGGCCCTCCTGGGGCACTGCAGAAAGACCTCTTTCTAGAATGCTCCTGGCTTTTGGTTTCACTTTCAATGTTCTCTCCTAACAACAAGGCAGACGAACATCACACCCTTCCCACAGTGACAGTTCTGATTACAAAAGACTGAGCTCAAGTCAAAGAGCTCGGATGTCGAGGACTGAGGAAGAAAGGCAGAGCAACTAACAAGTGGGCATCTTCAAAAGCAGCAAGAGGAGATGCTTCCCCGATCTCTGCTAAACCAACCTGAACAGGTTACACAATGCCTGGCCCAAGCAGAGGGCAAGTGCCACTGGAGCAAAAGTTGCTTCATTCCATTGGCTGTAGAGTGTGTGTGGTGTGTGTGGTGTGTGTGTGTTGTGGTGTTTGAGAGTGTACCTGTGTATGTTCCTATGCAGGGCAAGGGTCAGATGTCTTCTTCAATCATGCTCCAAGTTGTATTTTCAGACAGGGTCTGTCACTGCATTTGGAGCTTGCTGTCAACGCTGGATGGCCAGCGAGCTGAGGACGTGCCTGTCACTGCCCTGACTGAAGCTGAGGCCATGCCTGGCTATTCACACGGGTGTACAGATCCAAACCCAGATTCTCACTTTGCATGGCAAACACTCTACCCAAACACATCTCCCTGCCCTTTGCTGAAATTTAAAACAGACATTTGACATCTTGTCCTTGTTTACTGCAGCCATAATATTTGCATAAGTCCCCACTTACTAAGCCTATGCATTTTATTTTTATCAGAGTTTGGGGAATGAACAGAGAATGTGGGAGCAAGGAGCTTATCTCAAGAGAAACATGGACCTCAAACACACACATTTAGTTATGCCATCTTCTAAATGACCATGAGACAGCCCTGACATTTGTTCAGGGGGGAAAAAAAAAAACTGCTCCAAAAAATATTCATTTTATACAGAGAAATAAATGTATTTAATGGCAACCTACACTCTTGAGATAATTTAAAAAGGAATTTTACACAAGCAATTATGAGAGTGAATTATGTTAAGGAATCAAACCCATGTGCTAATTTGGTGAGAGCTTTTCTGTCTTACAGATCCCGTGACCTATTCACGTATGAAAAGCAGACTTGGAAATGATAAGTCTCCATTATGGGGAGAGTTCGCTCTCATAAAAGAATTCCAACTATGCCTCTTCCCCACTAGGTCCTTGGGTTTCTTCAAGTGGGACAAAGAACAAGCCATTCCAGGCCACGTGTTGCTCCAAGAGGACTGGATGCCTCTGAACTTTGACCCCAGGCCTGGAACAGACTGCCACCATGTCAGAGATCACGGTGCTGACGTGTCAGACAGAGATGTGTGTTAACTTGTGGGAAGAGAGGAGAAAAGAACAGTTGTTTCTCAGAGGGAATGTTCCCCAGGGAAATGAAATATACACATAGAATTTTCCCATCTGAAAACTATTTCTCTGGTATCTTTGGAAAAGATCCCTTTTTAAAGCTCACACACATTTTTAAAAATTTGTAGTACATTTAATTAGAGTTATACATATTTTTGCACTCATAAGCAGTTATTCTTGATACAGAATGAGCCGATTTTCTAAATTTTCACTTTCTTTTAAAAATATTTTCCATTTATTTTATTATTATTATTATTATTATTATTTTTTTTTTTTTTTGTGTGTGTGTGTGTGTAGGTGTGAGATCTGAGAACAACACAAGGGAATTGGTTCTCTCTTTTTGCTATGTAGGTCCCAGGGATTGAATTCAGTCAGGCTTAGTGGTAAGCACCTTTTCCTATTGCGTCATCTTGCTGGCCCCTCTGTAATATTCTAATGAGGTCAGACATGACTAAAAAGTTGGTATGAATCATCCATGTTTCAGGAGAGAAAATCGTGCATATAATAGACTCATGGGTATTACATCTATCCATTATTTCCATAACAGTTAAAGAGTAATACGTTTGTGTCTCCTTTATTCTTTTTTCATAGGCTAAGAATGACGATGAAAGGGCCCATGTAGCTATGACTCACTGGGAGAAAATGGCATTGAAAACTTAGGAATGTATTTGAACCTGAGCCTCAGGCCTAAGATGTCAGCTATGAGATTAATAGTTAGATACAGGTACCTGGACACCAGAGGTACAGCTCTGTGGTAAGACTAAGCTGCAGATCACCCCTTTTCTGACAACGTGGGGAGTACTGAAGGGAATGGAAACAGATTGATCCTTTATAGTAAAAGTCATTTATAAAGAGAGAAAAGTGCAGAACCTTGGGAGGGGCCATGAGACCAAATGGTAGCTATGTTTTCCATACAACATGTTCACTAACCCTTTACAGACTTTTATCAAGCTTCAGATACAGGAAATGTCTTCCTGGTTTTGGCTTTCCAAGTTTTTATAACGAGTTATCGTCAAGCAAATTGACTTGCTATGCTGTACAAACATAATTAGGCATGAAACAGATACATATAATATACAAGGTACAGCGAGAACTCTCGGAATTACCTTAGCTTTCTAAGTATCTACACAGCTCTGCCCCAGTCACAAAACAGATAACCCAAAGTTATCATAATGTCTTTAATCCTGTTTTACTGTGGTTCTCTTAGAATCCATTCTCATAAAAATTATTTTAATTCACAAAACTATGAAGTTCAAGTCACATGAAATCTGTGTTGGAAGACAATTCAGGGTTGACGCTGGTGGGCGGTTATGTAAGGTTAATGCGATTGTGTATGGATCTGAGAATGGCAGACACTAGGGAGAGGTTGAAGAGGAAGGTGGAAAGAGGAGGAGATGACAATGACAGTAGCAGACATTTAATGACCGCTTACGCTAATCAAAAGTAATCAGGGTTTTCAAGCTCTGCACTGCTGACATTTCCAACTGCCCGCACAATGCAGGGTATCAGCAAACACCCCTGACTTCTGTTTACATGTCAGTAGCTTGTAACAACCAAAATAAATAAATAAATAAATAAATAAATAAATAAATAAATAAGAAAGAAAGTCCTCATGGAGAGGAAGATTGAGCAACCCCACCTTCACCACCACTCCCACTAAACGCTTTGCATGTATTATCTCAAATCTTCACACTTGTCCAAGGAAATGTTGCTTGTGTTTCCTCCACTTTCCAGACACTAAAACACATAGAAACTCATTAAAGCCTTGGAATATGCAGGCAGGAGGTGGCTTCCATGAGCCAATCCCATACATCTGGCTCAGGCAAGTCTGTATTCAACAGCCACAACACATGAGAATGTGCACAAATACACACCTTAGGGAGATGAGAAAACTGCCTGCCTCTCAGAGATACTCAGAGATCAGGAAGTCAGGAGGAACTATCCATGAAGTATAAGTGGTTACTATTTACATCTAACAATATTTAATATGAGCACACTCGGTGGAACGGGGTTTGGTCCCTAGAAAACTTACGGTCCACTGGGAGCTGTTTGTACTTCTGGCTGTCCCGCACAATGCTGCCCCCACTGTCGCTGGAGCTGCTGTTTTGACGGGTGACGTTTGCTGGAACCTTGGGCACAGGAACAGGTGCTGGTGCAGAAGGTGGAAGGGGGACCGGAACAGGCGCTGGTGTGGGAGGCGGTGACGGGGCAGAAGGAGTATCAGCTGAGCTCGGACCATACTCCATCCTTTGCTTCTACAAACAGACAAGAATTAACCTGAAATATATACGAGTGGTGTGTGTGTGTGTGTGTGTGTGTGTGTGTGTGTGTGTGTGTGTATAATGAGGTAAAAATTGACATCACTGGCTATTTATTTGTAAAGTTACCTGTGCCATTCCTTAATGAGTGTACACATGTGTGTGTGCAATTTTAATCCAGTATATCACAGTCATTGAAACCGTCTTTTAAGTACTCTACATATTTGCTCAAAGTCAGCGTGTGAGTTTAAAGAGTGACAAGCTCACACCAAGAGCAAATAATATAATAACAGAGGACAAAAGAACTAAGTTTGAGCTTAAACTTACAGAAGACCATGATAGGTTAAAATACACTGATTATTTTATAATTTAAATGAATAATAATTCCGATGGAGTTGAAAATCAGTAACATGAAGCATCACTTACTCCTTGCTATTTACAAGGAGGTTTTGAAGGAGCAATGCATTGATTTAGTGAGTAAAGGGGCTATGTTTTTCAAATAAGTAGGTTTAGACAATTAACTTTTCACGGCATAGCCCTTTCCACCACTGTGTTTTTGCTAATTTAGACACGTTAGAAATTTTCTTTGTTAAAAATGGGAATACATAGGGTGAATGGCTTTGATGAGAAAGGCACTGTCGGTCCTTTGGGCTGCGGCCACAGATGCATGGTAGTGCATTTGCCCACATGCAAAGCTCTGGCTTCACCCTCAGGCCTACAAAAAGAGATGAGAGGGGGAAAAGGATGTAGGAGAGGGAAGGGGGAAGGCATGTGGGTGGGGATCTATATTTTAAAAGGAAGATGTGGTAAGCTATACAATTGTGGTATCATAAGACAATAATCGGGTGTATTTCTTATTAAACATAATATCTGAAACTGTAAGTGTAGGTAAAACAATCTCACAGACAACTATGTGAAAAAGACTCGGAGTCCTCGAGAGGCACATCTTTGCAGAGTAAAGATGCAGCGTTATGAGGGAGGCGAAGCTTAAATACCGCACCAGCACAATCCCAGTTAAAATTAAGGTTAGCAGAGAAAATCCAGAAGAAAACCTTCTGGAAATCCGGGTCTTGCGTTAAGGCAGTATTTGCTTTTCACTTCTAAATTGGCCCAAATATAAGGCAGCCCTGATTTTTAAGCGAGTCCTCCCAGGTTTCCACAGAGATCAAAAGCATAAAAACACACACCACACATTGCTTTCAAATTAAATTGTCGCTCACAAAACAACATACTGACCGCCAAGGTGCCTTCACAGGAAGAGAACTTAATACCCGTGGAAAGCTTTGTGGGGAGTGGGAAGGGACCCTTGGCCCTTGCTGCTGTTTCTGGAGAGCTGTGACTCACTCACCAGTCCATGGTTAAGGATGGGAGGGGTAACATTCTGGGAAGGGCACAAAACCGAAGGAGGGCTAGATAGTGAGAGGAGGAAAGCAATGAGGTCAGGGGCAGGCAGGAAGAGCCCGAGATGGGTAATTGACACAAAGTTAAACTGGAGAGGAACAGATTTCTGGACCTTCCAGCACCCAGCCCTAGGGACACTTCTAATATATTCAGTAATAATGTCAGAAATCTTTGCTGTATTATTAAAAAACCCATAAGATATTTCTCTTATATTTGGGCCAAAAAATATCTACAGCAACCAAAACATAGCACACATCACCAAATACTACTTAGCACACACCAAAGCCACTTAATATATGTTTTGTTCCCTAGACAAATGTGCCCCTCAGTGGTTTAATGAAATCATGTCAATGTCTCAAAAGTGTCAGAATTTAAATGATTGTTTTTAAAGCTTATGCCAAAAGAAAAAAAAAAGCTACAAGCTCCGAGTGCCACAGTATGATTCATTTTTTTCCCCTGCTTCCATAAAAACAAGAACAGCTAGTGTTTTTCTCTCTGTGGGATAATTCTGTGACAAGCTCAAAACACTACGAGTGTCACAGTCAAGCCCAGAGACAGGCTCACCAAGTGTTGGGGTCTCAGTCATTTACCTGCTTCTGCTGCTCAAGGCAACAGCACTAACAGATCTCACTCAACAATAGGTCAAAAACTGAAACCAAATCCAAGTTTCCAAAGCCACACAGATTCATGATTTATGCCAGAGTTCTATTTACTTGCATATTTCCCCCTCCACTCAGTCTTTTGTGTTTGCCTCATGCCTTCAACTTCTGGTACGAAAAGGGAAAGAGGACCAGACCCTCAAATCAGTGGGACTCCTTTCTGAAAGTCACTGAGTCAGAACGGATCCCGGGAACCTCGTCTCTGAGTCCTTCCCATCACCTCTGTCCTCTCTACCTGCTGCCCAAAGCCTGTTCTTCCTTCACGTTCCTGTGCTTGGCTCTTCCTGGTTGGAGGCACACACCCAGTGACTCCCAGCACACCTGAACCCTGGAGGACCTTCCTGGGCATAGCTCCTTTGGAGCCTTTCTTTCCTTTCCCAGGGAATGCCACTGAAGTGCCACATCTCACAAGCCTCCCACTCCTCGGCAGCTGCGTCGCCTGGAATGGAGCCACTTCCGTATGAAACTGTCACTTCCGAGTCCTACCCATCATCTCTCACGAGTGCCAAGCTCCACCTTAAACAAAGCACCCTTGTGTGTTTCTCTGAAGGAAGAGGGAATGGCTCTGTCTCCTAAGAAATGTACTTTCCTACTGACAATTAAGTTGGGGTGAGTCACTTTTCTTCAGGAACCAGAACTGAGTAAAAATTCTCGAGCATTGAAGTGATTAGAGGCAAGTACCTGATTCTCTAAAAGCCCTGCTTTGGAGAGGAGATTATGCAAGTAAAAGCCAACCAAGCCACTGGCAGAGAACCGATCTTCAAATTTTGTCCTACCCCAAATTGTACTTTTTCCCCTTTAAATTTGGCCTCTCTGAAATTCTGCAATGAAAACAGAACAGCTGGAATATTTGGAGGGTGTTAAGTCCAGAAACAGAATCCAAAAAAATTACAGGAAGAAGAATTGCCAGGAGGGAATGGATATGAGTACCTCTGACAGCTCGCCAAGTAATTGCTATTAGGGGATGGAGCAAATCACATTAAATTAACACAGGAGATGGAATTGAAAGAATATTAATTATAATTTACACCAAATAACAGAAAACATGAACAAACTTTTTTTGACAGCAAAATTACCTACCCACAAGTCAGTCACCAAAGGAGTTTGTAAATACATAATTAATTCCCACACCTCTTTACCCATCTCCCAGCTCAACACACAGAGTGAACAGCTTTGAGTCAGAACATCTCAGTAACAACCTCTTCGAGCATTAGAGCATTGTGTGAAGAGATTCCGATACAAGTTCGTTCTATTCACAGCTTATAAAGAATGCACTCAGAGTCAAACATACAGACATAGAGAGATTGTGGTTACTAGGATTGGGGTGGTGGGCACAGAACATGGGTGGGGAGGTGTCCTATGACAGGAAGTAGCAGATTCGGAGTGTGAACAGGAAAACTGAATGTGAGTATGAGAGTCATACTTGATAACAGCACATTAGATTTAGGTTTGCTAAATGAGCAGGCTATGGCTGTTCTTGTTGTGGGGCGGGGAATGGGTAGCTATGTGAAATGATATGTTCATTCTATTACTTTTGTGATAATTTTACTTTACTGTATATGCACTTATAAAATCGTTTGTGTATGTATGCATGGCTGAAGAATATGAAGGTGATGTTAGCAAGATGGCCATTTTCTGTCCAGCATTTGTTTCAACATCTGGATTGGGTTTAAATAAGGCATGGATAAGATGGGCTAAGATCAATACTGTTGGTGGTTTAATAGTCACTTCTAGAAAATATTCCCACTTTCAGCTTTGGGCTCTTTAAACACGGACATGGAAGGTAAGAGAATTTGATGACAGAGACAGACTTGTAGCTCATAGTCAAGCACATGGGAACTGAGAAAAACAAGATTCTTTCTCTAAGGGCACACAGCTGGCTAGTGACAGAACCAAGGCCAGAATCCTCACCAAGTGCCACCAGAGTAGGCTTTCCACACAATTCCATGACAGCCAAGAAGGACAGAGAGGGTGGTGCTGGAGTCACCAGGCCCAGCAATGGCTGGACATTGGTCATTATCTGATTTTCCTCCCTTGGTGGAGTAAGAAAAACTACAGGAATAATAAACACATAAACCCAACATTTAACAATACACAGAAGAATTCTTTCGCCCAGCTGTGGTGGCAATAGAAATAAGGACAGGGAGGAAGTAGCTCTGCTCCTCACACAGCAGGGGATCCATGGGAAGCAGTCTATCCAGGAGATGGCCAGTGTTGGCCTGGGAATCAGTAAAAAAACAAAACAAAACAAAAACTCCAAACAAAAAACTTTCTGTGGCAGCAGATTCTGGGTGAAAAGAAAGCACCTGGGGGCCATCTGTGGTCCAGATAAGAGACTGCAAAGCCCTGGGTGGGTGGGGTAGGGGTGGGGGTGGCTACATTTCAATGGAAAGCCAGACCACTTTTCTGTGTCCATCAAAAGCATTTACGCCTGTCTCCTGTGGCTTCACTGAAACACACACACACACACTCACACACACACACCATCACATACACCATCACATGCACATAAATATACCATCACATACACACACACACACACACACACACACCATCAAACACAAACACACACCATCATACACACACCATAATATACACACAACCCATCACACACACACACCCCCCATCACAAACGCACACACATCTCACACATACACATACACACACCATCATAAACATACACTCCCCCCTCTGTCTCACACACACATACACACTTTGGTAAATTCTCTATCACATCTCTTCCTTTAATATTTAAGCTGCTGCCAAAGCCATGGGGAGGAACCTGCGTAAGAGAGCTGTGAAAATCACTCCAAATGTGAGGATTATTAAATAACCTCGACTCCCAGGGACTTCAGGTGACAACTCAACACCTAGTCCTGGCTGGTTCAGGTGTTAGAACAGAGTCCTACTGTTAGAACAGAGTCCCAGACAGAGGATGTGCCACAACAGACAAGTGCTTGAGCCTTCTCTAGGAACTGCTCCCCCAGGATCCTTCAGGACCAGAAATGGAAGGGGATGGAAAGGAGAAGCATGGCAGTGTTCACTTTAAAAACTCCCGGTGAGTCAGGGAGGCTGCACAGAAGCAGTTTGCCTGCCATTCCTTCTTTCTGACACACACAGAGAGCCCACTTGGCCAATCCATCATATCGTATGCACAGTTTTCCCAAAGTATATTAAAAAAAAAAAGAAAGGACATAATAAAATGCAAGAAATGGACTCATTGGGGTGGGGTAAAACATTCTAAGACTGATGACCGGTCAGATCCACTGTAATCAAGGTACAACGTATGGGAGAGGTGCTCAGAGATCGTGTCCCTATGAATATTCACACAACAGAACCCTGCTTAAATGAAAAGAGATGGTGACATTTCCCGAACCCTCTCTGGAGTAACAGCGTATTAGCAGGGTACCAGCTCTGGACCCTCACGGCTGGGTCCCAGTCCTAGCTTCGTGTTGCTGTGTAACTCTGAGACTCTCATTTCTTCTGTGCCCAAGTTTGCTATGTGACATGTACCTACATCATTGGGTTGCTGTGGGACTTGAATGAGGCATACGTGTGCACAGCTTAAAGAATTCTGGGCTCAGAACGGCACTGCCCACTGGCTCTGTCTGCTTCATTGTCACTATGCAGCTGGCTTTATTGATTAATCAGCAGGTATCATGCTGTGGCACAGCACTGTAGTCCAGGCTGGCCCAGAACTTGTTTTGTAGTATAGTCTGGCCTCAGATTCCAGAAATCCTTCTGCTTCAGCCTCCCAGGGGTAGTGATGACGGTTTTGAGTCACCAAATCTTGCTTTGCTTCAAAACTTTGACATGATTGGGTGGAAGGGAGAAGAGACCTGTACGGATGGGATGGAAGTCACTGTTCTTCACACAGCTGCACCAAGGACACAGCAAAACAACAGGTGCCCTGGAAACACGTGTGCTGCTGGCTTCTGCAAAGAAGCCACCGAGTGCCAGCCTTCCTATTACTCTTCTTACCAATATCAAGATGCTGGCACTGAACAAATACATGAATGAATGAATGAATGAATGAATGAATGAATGAATGGCAAATAGTAAGACAAGAAATGAAAGGTATTCAATTTCTCCATGGCGAGGACGTGAGTATCCCTGGACTGTACTAACATGGTAGGGACCTTGTCATTCTGAAGTGAGCTGCTCATTTTTCTCAGATGTCTCAGATAAAGGTGTCTGTGCTGCTGTCACAGGGACAGACAGTTGGCTGGGATATGATTCTGAGGGTTTTTCTTTCCTGTGCATCTCCATTCTTTTCAGGACACACTACTGTCGAGTCAGGTAGGTAGGCTGTTTATTGCGAGATCTTTATTGCATCCAGCCCAGAGTTTCCAGGTGTTCAAGGGGTAGAGAGTTTGCAATACCTTTCAAAGGTAGGCCCTCACCCTAAACTCTAAAAGAGAGGTGGAGGAGGGGGAAAGAGGAGAGGGAGGCTGCAGGGAGAGGAGGGAGAAGAGAGGGAGATCACGCACCCACTCTTGCATACACATTTCTACAGTGAGACCGTGCAAACAGCCAAAACATGCAATCCTCCTCAGCAACTACAAATCTCTGTTTACACAGAGTTTCAGCATAGACTCCTAGAACTTGTGAAAACTTAAGAAACAAACAAACAACAACAACAACAAACTCTTGATTGTGCCAAAGCTGGCAAAAATATAAGATGAGGTTCTGTGAAAGAACAGAACCAGGGAGAGTGGGCGTTGTGTTCTCTCCAAGGACTGTTTTTGCCTGTGGGGTATACTAATCATTTTAGCCAGAGGCAAGCCTGAAACAGGAAAGTCAACACATAGTTCAGGCCAGGAGTCACAGCTGAAGGAAAAGGCAAGACCAAAAAGCAAGCTGGTAGAGGTGGGAATCAGACTCCTTTTTAGGGTCCTTTTGAAATAGGAGTCCCAAGTGGAGACAGATACACAGAACACACATTATTTGCAAGTTTAATTAAAGTTACCTTATTTTTCAGTTTATTGGTTCCTAGGAATCATGCACACAAGCAAGATTCAATTTGAGTAATTGTTTTTAATATGTAAACCTAGAAACTCTTGGGTCTGTTTGCCCATGTGGCTGAAGAATATCCTTTGTGAATAGCTAGTGCTACACTTTGTCAATACTTCTCAAAGGGCAGATATTCCCCCTTAGGGTTGCAGACACACATTACAAGCATCAAGGATATCACTGTTTTGCAGGAGAGAAAGCAGACGAAAGGCACTCATCCTCTGGGGAGAGGCCTTACGTCACTATGCCAGTGACCACATCTCATACTTAGAAATGGAAGAACTTACAGAAAGGAAGCAGTATGGAAAATGAAGTTAGAAAATTCACTGCAAAAGCCCATGGGAAAAACAGCAGACCATACCTTGAATAATTCAAATTCCTTCTTTGGCATCAAAAGCTAACAACAAATGATTGGCATAAGTAAGTACATAGGTCATGTCAGGCTGGGAAAACAAAATGAAATACCACGTACAGGAAACAGGCTTCTATTTCCATCACTTTACACCACACCATGAGATATAGAACACCAATGTTTTGTCTTCTTTTTCTTTTTTGAGGCAGAGTTTTACTGTATTATCCCAAGATGACATCACATCCCTGACGAGCCAGCCTCTCCCCGCCCCCCAGTTCTGGGAAGATGGGTATGTGTCTCCACACAGAAGGATAATTATTCTCAATATCAAGTGTTTGTTTGGCTCGTGTGGCTTCTAATAAGGCCAAATCCCTCTGGAAGGGGCAAGGATCTACTGGAGACTCGAGTGTCACAAGGACTTCCAAGTGCTCAGATAACTCAGTGTGGCTGCCGCTGAATGAACTCCATGTAAGGCCTGGATTCTTTGTCTTCTTCAAGCCTAGATCTGACCAACAATAAACTGCTTCACAGTCTATTTCATAAAGTTACTACATGAGCCAGTGATACCAATGAAATCGCAATAAAAATGGCAGGAACGGTGTCTTTCTCAAGATTGAAAATGAAAAGACTGCTTCCCTAAGGCACGGGAAAGAAGGCACTAGGGTTCTGAGGTTATATGTGACAGAGTCCATCCTTGCTGGAGGACTTGCTCCAGAGAGGCAGCTCATGAGAAAACAGTTGCCAAAATGGGTAAAGTGGGCAGGCAACTAAAATCCCGAAACCATGGTGTGTGCAGGCTTCAGGAAGTCTTCAGTGATCATTGGGAAGAGCCTGATCTACCTCAACTACATCATAGTTACTTTTAACCTTAATACAAGGAAAGGAAAACCACTGTAACACCAGGACACACAGCCATGCCTGTGCTCAGGAACGCTGAATGTGAACTCAAGGCTGGCCAGAGACTCAACAGTTACTAGACTCTGAAGGTAAGGGCTGCCAAAGATGGAGTTCTACCCTCCGGCGGTCTTGGGGCCACGTCAATGGGCAAGGAGAAAAAATTGTATCTGTCAGAAATACTATAAATTGGTATAAAAAAGCATTCAGAGGAACAATAACTTATTGGTGGACACGTAACAGATTCCTTAGGAAATGAATCAGAAAACACGCATAGTTCTCTCTCTCCATGCTGTTCTTCAGTTGCTCTCAAAAATGTAACCAGCTCAGTCTCCAAGTGATTAACACACAAAGGCACTTGATTCCTGTTCTTGAAAATCTGTGAATGTCACCTTTTGCTCAGAACCCAAGTTACCTGTATGGTGTGTGTGTATGGGGGGTCGGCACGCCCCACTCCGGATTCCGGGGGTCTCACAATATCCATAATGTTATTTGGCACAAACCCAGAGTCTCCACTGGCATTCCGAACTTTCCACCATTGCTTCCTATCATCAAGTATCTGTCATTAGGCAAGGAACAAAAGAGAAATTTTGGTAACAAAACCCACTCACGGGCAAAGTTCAAATTTATTTCTCAATCTTTTGACTTCTGATAATGACCTGAGTATGAACACATGAGACTGAAATTCTTAGGAAGAACATGAAGCCTTATAATTATTGATATTTGCATAAAATAGTGACTATGACTGCAGTGGTGGCACACGCCTTTAATCCCAGCACTCGGGAGGCAGAGGCAGGTGGATCTCTGTGAGTTCGAGACCAGCCTGGTCTACAAGAGTGAGTTCCAGGACAGCCTCCAAAGCCACAGAGAAACACTGTCTCGAAAAAACAAAAACAAAAACAAAAAAGGGAGGAGAAGCTAAATAAGATTATATAATATAATTAGGAATTTGTTTATAAAACATCATTAAATATAGCAACACTGCCATGTTGAAAGTGTATTTCTATTATTTTTCTATAAAGTTCTTGCTCACAATACATAAGTAGTTCATAAAAATAACAGTTTTTTTTAAACCAAAAAAAAAAAAAGTGACTTTGACAAATCTGCCCCAAGTATATACTTTGTTCTCGAAATGTACCTGAATCATTTGAGGTACTCAAAGAGCAATAAGATGGCCATTCTGGAAAGGTCTATTGTTTCCACAAAAGGGAAAATATAAAAACTATTTTTAACAAAATGCTTTGTATCTATGCAAGGAAATATACTGTAAACTTAGCCTAAGAAACATTACCCTCGACATGATGATGTCTGTGCAAGAATTCTCAGAGAGGAGGAAATGTTGTCTTTGACTAAACTGTCAGGATTCCTCTCCACTGAATTTACAATTAGCCTTGCTTCCAAAATGAATAAACCCCAAAGAAAGACAACAAGGCAAGCCAAGAAATCACTTCCCTCTTCCATAGTGCTCTATGTGTCTCTTACTTGAATGCTCAACACTATTATGGGGTCACATAAACTAAGTAGCTAATACTTCTAAAGAGATACAGATGCCCAGGGTGCGGTGTGTACAAAGAGAGAGTTCTTGGTCTTGGTTTTTCTTTCAGAGGGTTCGGAGACACATTAGAAGATACAGCAAGCTTGCTGTCTCAGAGGAATGAGAGGTGAAATCGCTTACCTCTAAAACTTCGTCCTTCAGGACCGAGAGCTCACTGCTGTTCCTTGCCATGAAGTCATACTTGGATTTGGCATATTTCTTAGTTTGTGTTTTGACTGAGTCATGACTTCTAGAAAAAGAAAGGAAGAACTCTGTCATTCCACCAGTTTTTCTAAAGCCTGAGAACAGAAGTAAACATGAGGGCCAGTCCACGCTTTTCAAAGGTAGGAAAACTAAAAGGCACCATGGGGTTCTTCCTACTAAAAAAGAACAAACTGGGGCTGGGAAGATGGCTCAGGAAGGGAGGACACTGCTCTTGCAAAGGGCTTGAGTTCCATTCGAAGTACCATTGGGGGTTAACAATCACCTGTAACTCCAACTACAAGGGACCCAACATCTCTTTCTGGCTTCCATGTGGCACACATATAGAGATGGAGAGATGTTTTTTGCTTTTTTTTTTTTGAACAAACTATTGCACAGAAAAAAAAAAATGATTCCAAGGTACTGGTTGGTACTGAGTCAAATCTAGACTCTAACCTCAGGCGCTATCTATTAAACACACATATTAAGGTCAGACATGGTGATGTATGCCTAGAAGGCCAGCATGTGAGAGGCTGAGGCGAGAGGACCAGGAATTCAATGTCATCTTGGATGACACATCAAGTTTGAGGCCAGCATAGACGATGTGAAATCCCATTTCAGAAAGACCGAAAACAGTGCACACGTGAGAGAGTGACAATGGACATGAGTGGAATTTACAGAAGAAAGACAATGCCCACAGCACAACTTCAGTTACTCAAGCAACACTTCAAAACCAACTAAACACATTAAAAATTATGTCTACGGACCATTTTAAGGAGACCTTTGCTTAGTTACCAAAAGTACAAGGGAAGGGATCCCTCAAGTATATAGCCAGCAGCCTTCTCAAGCAAAGAAGGAAACACACTTATTTTGCCATAAGCTTTTTAAATTATAATAACTGATATATGGGGCCTATTTTTTAAGTTTATTTTCTTTGAAAATCAAATAATTCAGCATTAACAGATTTAACAATGCACTTAATTTTTTTTAGATGAATGATGCATTAAATAGTATTTATTATTTCCTTCATATCTGGAATAATGTTTCGACAATAAAATGATAATGCTGAGTCAGAACGATTTTATTCCCAACCTCCTCCAATCACCTATTTATACTTCCTCACAAATCTCTACAAAAAAAGTCAACAGACACAGACCAAAGATGGTCATCCATTCCGGTTTTTGGGCATGCTGAGTCATACCTGGGCCCTCAGAGGCCAGGTATGCAGAGATAGGGTGACCCTTCATCACAGACCTACTGTCTCTCAGACTCTCATCCCATCAGATATGGGGGACCAGTACAAAGAAACTGTTGTAAGCTGTACCGACTACAAGCCATTTTCACTACATTAAAATAAAAAGTAAAATTATGCCATTGATTATTACACATTATACATTTTTGTTTTGCTTTCTCAGATAAGCTCTCATATTGTAGTACAGGGCAGTATAGAATTCATTATACAGCCCAAATTGGCCTCAAATGCATTGTCCCAGAATCCTAAGTGCCCAGATTACAGGCATTAACCAACACCTGGCTTGGTATCAATACGTTATGAATAATCATATTTAAGGCCTGTTATTCTTGAATTCTATATCACTACCTCCACTGTGGTAGTTTTGCCACTTATATATTATATATTTATAGCTTAAATATTTATATTATATTATGATTACTAATGTATATCTATATTATATAACATATTTATATTATATACAATAAAGCTTATATATTATATAATGCTTTATATAATAACTTAGTTATATAATACATAACATGTAAGATTATATATTTATATTAATATTAAGATTAGGCATATTATAATATATGTGGGAAATATGGGAATAAAGAGATCCACCCACCCCAAATGTTAGGAAAATAGCAATTTCAGTTCTTTCTCTTTCTTCCCATTTTTCCCTTCTATAATTTGCAAAAGAATCACCACAGATAAGGAGGAGTGGACTGTATTCTAAGAAAGACTGGAAAATGTCCTGCAACTGAGTGTCTGCATGTATCTGCATCCGTATGTTAAAAAACTGTAGCCAGCTATGGCAGTGCATTGGTGGAGACAGCAGCCTCAGAGGGGTTACACTGGACCAGGTGAAGAATTTACAGACAGACAGCAACTGAGCTGTCTTGGGTGCCCTGACAGATGGCATCTCTCAGCTGAGATCATTGTAAACTGGATGGTTGCCAGTGGCTGGGATCACTGATTTTCTACGTTGTAATGAAAATGTGTCATTATTGCAAAAGCCACCAGAAAATCCTCATCTGATGTGATACACACAAGGGTCTTGAATTTACTTTTATGATTATGATCAAATGCAGTTGTTTTTGCATGTCAGAACTGCAGTAGGTGCTGTGTGAAATGCATCCATTATTCTGTCAAACCGTCATGCAGTGAGGTAGCTGATTTTTACCTTTGAGACACTATGGTTTACTGTTAGCTGGTATGGCTGGCTACACAGACAAGCCCTGAGATTGCTGCTGCCTCTACCTCTGATCTGTAGTTTTGCTGTTTTGGTTTTGCTTTTTAAGACAAGGTCTTGCTACTCATCATGTATCCCAAACCAGCCTTGACATCAGACATTCTCAAAGGCAAATCTGAAGTTCAATCATAATGTTAGTCCTTCCAGTTCATAAAATTCTTATCTGTCATAGATTTCCAAATTTATATTTTATCTCATTACAGTAACATCATTACTTTAACTTTCTAAGTCAATTTGGAAAGATATGGTTGAGAGACTAAATGGAAGTCCCCCGAGAGCCTATAAAGATCACACAGAACAAGGTAAGCTTTTAAAGACACTGCCACAGTCGATGGTAGAGGCTAAGCCATGGGTAATGGGTAACACTGTACCTCACAGTTTCAGGTGACCTTGCAGACACGTAAAGACTGAAATGCTGGACACAACCATTTAGTCATCCAGTCCATCCAATTTGTACTTACCTAGTGAGCATGTGTATATAAAAGGCTACACACACGTGTGTGTACAAGCTTATAGATATTGATATCCAGTATCCTCCTCTATCATTTTTCATTTCACACATTGAAGGAGGGTCTCTCCCTGAACCCAGAGCTCATCGAGTCTGGCTTGTGGAGCTAGGTAGCTTGCTCTGGGGAATTCCATTTCTGTCTCCCAGATGCTAGTCAGTATAAGTGGCCTCCATGTCCACCCAGCTTCTGGATGAGTTCTAAGAATCCAAACACCCTTCCCACAATTACAGGGCAAGTGCTTTCTTTATCCATTGACCCATCTCCCCACTCACTAATCACTTTTTAAATAATTAAAACTCACACTTATATGTTGGCATTTTCAAAATACATTATTCATTGCTGACTTTCCTTTGAACTCAATTTAATAGATTGCTGGTACCCTTAGAGGAACACCTGTACAATTTCCTTGGATTACCTTCCGTCATCCTTAACAAAGCTCCCCCACCTCTGAGACAGGGTATTATGCATGCCAGTCTAGCCTGGCACTAGCTGGCATGGCCTTGAACTTCTGACCTCTTGTCTTCACCCCCAAGTGAAGGATGTAACAGGCATATGCCACCGTCATGGTTTCCTGTGGTGCTGAGGATGGAACCCAGGACTCACACATGCTGTGCAAGCAAAAATGAACGGCGTAAGCAACATCCCTAGCTCTCAGACTCTACATGTAAACAATATATTGGAAAAGCAACTCCTTACGGAGAAAGAAATGCTGGGATGCTCCCCAGATGAAACGAATGTGTAGCCCTCTCTGCCTCTGATACCAACACCCCACAGTTTCTTACTTTTCTGGTTTAGGCTGGTGTTCATGTAACCTTAACTGCTGGAAAACATTTTTTTTTTGTGAAAAAAAGAACTTCATGGAATTTTTTCTTTTATTTCTTCTAGATTTCCAATTCTCCCTGTTTGGCTAAATTAAAACTCTAAGAAATAAAAATACAAGGAAACAGTAAGAATAGAAAGGCATGGCCTCTATTTAAACAGTTATTTCTAATACAAATTGAGAGAGACAGAGATAGAGACAGAGACAGAGAGACAGACAGACAGACAGATGGAGAGAATAGGCTAGAAACAGTCCCACACCATAGACCAGGCTAGCCCAGAGCACACTGTGTAGCCAAACCCGGCCTTGACCTCACCACCCTCATACCTCAGCCAAGACAAGTGCTGGAATTACAGGCATGTGCCACCATACCTGGTTTATTCTAATGAGTCTAATATTCTATCTACAGGAGGGGATTTTAGGTTTTGTATTTTGTTTTTAGTCTTTGGCAGATGCAGAAAACGATAGGAATTGTTTCCTTTATAGGCTACTGAGCTCGGAACTCTGAAGAATCTCACTGTAGAGGAGTGAGTGTGGATGAGCAGTGGGCGTGGCATGCATGCAGAGGTCAGTTGTCGCCCTCTACCTTGTTTGAAACAGGGTCTCTTGCCCCACGATGCATACAAGGCTAGCCAGGGGATCCTCCTGCCTCACTGAAGGAGCTCTAGGCTTACATACATGTGCTAATATGTCTAGGGTATGTAAGTTCTGGGTATCAGAACTTGGGCCCTCACGCTTGTACGTGAGTGATGTCCCCCTTGCCCTTTCCCCTTTTAGCCCCCCAGAAAGCTCTTAGAGACTATCTGGTAGAAACTAGTGGAACAACCAGCTAAGTTTAAAGATGATTCTTTCCTCATACTACACAGATCATAGTCAGAGTGTTTTCTAAGAGAGCAAAAGTCACCCAGTGGGACTCCCACTGAGAGTGACAGATTAGAGGTCTTGACTCTACTGCGCATCAAAGCCAGTTCTGTAAGGAACTATGGAAACCTTACCAAACCATTAAGTGACAAAGCCCCACCCTGATCATACCCACCCATCCTCCACCCTCACACCCTATTAGCCTGAGTCACCCACGGCTACCCACAGAGCTCCAGATGGCATCTGCTGAGTGTTACCTATCTGCATGGCGATTGGGCATTGACTTGAAAGCCATGGCCTCTGCTTGGTCCAGATGCGGTCCTCTGTTGTACATGCTGTTACTGAATGCATAGCCATCAGATGGAGAATAGCTGGACACACTGGAATGCTGGAAGACAATTACATTGGAGTGTCACCAAGCACTGCTGGCATGAGCTCCCTCAGTCAACCTGAACCCTGCCCTAAACTGTACCTCGTTCCCATTGTTGTGGCTTTGCTCACTGTGCTATTAGGGTATGACACAGGGTGATTCATTTTTATCATCAGTGTACAGGTTAAACCTGAATTCTGAAAATATTAGATAGAAAGGCAGGAAGTTCTTTCCTGAGGAATTTTAGCAATAGATGATTATGATCTTGGACTTTAACACTGTAAACAATAAAACTGGAAGATGACCTTTAACCCTTGTCACCTCCAGATTTTACAGGGTTTCCATAGGTAAAGAGAAATGCGGAAGACTGTCCCAGATGCTGAGGCAGAATTCCCCGAAGCTGAGTTATTTTGGGGTTCACTGGGGCAAACGTTCTGAACTTGGGAAGGTCTGGGGAGCATGTAAGCGGGATAGGCAAGCCCCCAATTCCAATGAAAAGGCTGGGAAGAAGAAGGCTGAGTTCATCCACAGGCAACGTCTCCCGTGGACCAGTGCGGATGTCAAAACCACAACTACATATCCACCTGGAAGATATATACAGTAGGGAGCAGATGCTCTAAAAAAAAAATACAAATAGATGTTTTCCAGCCATGTAAATGCATGGGATCAGTCAACTCTACTAATCATTTCCCCAAGAGCCAGCAGAGATGTAGAATTCAATTAGCTCATTTGAAAAAAATAAATAAATAAAAAAACAAACAAAAAAAAAACCCCAAACCTCAAGGCCCACACAACTGGGGCCAGAAGTTGCTACAGTCATTCCCACCCTTTGCCTATTTCTTAGACAGAACAGTTCCTGGCCAGTGTGAAGTCACAGGTCCTGAGAGTGAGTGGGCATGCCAAGAAGGAGGAGATCAGGGGACAAGTGACTATGTGCCTATACATGGCCGGGCTGAGGGTGCTGAGGGATCAGAGGAAGAGGCAAGTTGATAGTGTCACCCACTCTCCTCACTGGATGTCACCTATGTCTTTCAATTCTAAACAGAATCACCTGATGCTCAATTGCTCAAGGCTTGCTGTAAGTGCATTTATTACAGTAGTGATAAAATACAGCAGAGCCTAGGAGGCAAGCTGGTACTTCTCAAGAGCTTTAAGTCACCATCCCCTGCACTCCTTTCCCACAAAGTCTCCATCTAGCAGGCAGGCATCTCTCATTTCATCTTCTTAAGGCTCTGCACGGTCACTTAATCATAAAATCATAAAATGGAAAATACAGCAGGAAAATGACAGCGCATGCCAAGAGAGGACCCGCAACAATTCTTCTTTTAAAATCCTGTGTTGAGAGCAGACAGACTTACACACTCACAGCCTAGAACACACATACTGTTCCCCTTTAAACACAGGAACTGTGAAAGGACTCCCAAAGGTGTGACTTCCCAAGGCACATATGACTAAGTGGCATATTTTCTTGTGTAAGATAAGAACACTGTAAGCTGGACAGTTCTGTGACTTGAAAATAGCTGTAACTATGGCAACACCAAATGAATTACTATTTCCTGTTTGCTTGTACCTCCCCTCCCACACACACACACACACACACACACACACACACACACACACACACACACACACACACACACACACACACAAGAGCTGCTTTCTAAATGGAAGAGAAGTTCACAGTCACAAGGTCTAAACTATCAAACTCAGGCAGGGCCATATGCTACTCAATCAGTGACCAGAGTATGATGTCACTGTCTCAGGTATTTAGATGAAGGGCCAGGTATGAAGTCTAGTCAACCTTCTCATTCAGCCAGAGGGAAAACAGTCACATTCACAGAAAGAGGACTTCAAAGAAGTATGTTACCTTTAGTCTTAATTTTTTTCTGGATTGTGACAGACTGCCTTTTAGAGAAAAATTCCTGTTTGTGTATGTTCAGCATGTGTGTGATGTGTGTACACATATGTGACCCTAAGGTTGACATCAATGGCTTCTTATATTGCTCCCATCTTATATTTTTGAGACCAGGTCAGTCACCTACTGAACCAGAAACTCACTGATGGAGTAAGACTAGCCAGTCAGCGAGCCCCAGGGATCCTCCTGTATCTACCCACCTCTAGGATTCCAGGTACACAGCACCCTGCCTGACTTGATCATGACGGCTGGGTGACTGGGGCTGTTGAAGGGTCCTCCTGCCTGCACACAGGCTCTGTACCTGCTGAGCCGTCTCTCCAGCCCACAGAGCACAACACATTTCCTATAAAACATCCCTGTCCAAAGAACAATTCTGTCCAAGGGAACAATTAAAAGAGATGTAATTTATATGCATGTTGCTTATTAAAAGCGGTCAGAGATACTGTGATTTGCTGACGCCTTTCCTCACACCGTGTTTGCCAAACTGCAGACCCACTTGTCAAAGGAATTTACAAGAAGGTCTGGGACTTCAGGGGCATCTAGCTGCCGCTCACTGCTGGGTTTTCACGTTATTCCTTACCCGCCTGGCTATCAGGGTTCTGAGCATCCCATTTGTACGTGGGTCAGCTTTAAATGTGTTCAATTTTCCCTTCCAATAGGGAAGAAAAATCATTTTTCAAGAATATCAACTATGCCTAATTTTGTTCCTCTCATTTGCTCCTCAAACAGGGTTATAGTCTAAAGTTTAGTCAATATTGAAAGATAAAAATCCATGGTATGGTCTTCTGCAGATACAACATCGTCATGGTCATTTGTCAGAAGACTAAGGTCCACGGAAACCTCCCTCCTCCACGGGCCTGTGAAGATTAGAACAGGAAGAGAGCGCTGGAGGACAGTGACAGAGTGGGGAGAGAGGAGGGCAGGACAGAAGGAGAGAAGAGGGCAGGACAGGGGAGGGGTGTGACAGCAAGAGGAGGAGGAAGAGAGCTGAGGAGGAAGGGAGGAGGGAGGGATTATGGGATTTGTGAAAGAGTTGATTAGAATCAACAGGATCTAGGTTCAGGGAACTAACTGCCTTAAGGGTCCATAGGTGGAAAAGGAAAACATAAACGGAATAAATGATGCTTGAGGGCAAGCTCCTGACAGAGAAAAGGGACAAGGAGACCGAAGACCAGAGAACTAGCAGAGTGTGACTCAGGTGCAACAGGGAAGGAGAAGCACCTAGCGACCTTCATAAACACAAGAAAGATTGCAGAGAACTCAGAGCAGCAGCAGGAAGGGAGGGTAGCGTTTAGTCACTGTCCCTAGGTGATGACTCCCAGGGACCATTCCACCATCCACAGAAACCACACGCCAGGCATGCCGACCTCTGAGGGCAGTCTCTTGCTGTCCTGTTTGCGCTGGTGCTCTGCTACATTAGCCACGGACTCGGCCAGCTGGTACATGTCTTGTTCTGTAGGAACACCCATGAAGTTTAGCATCGGGGGCTCCCAGCCATTGCGGAACCTCGGGACGTATGGTGGGATGAACTGTTCTTTCGGCCACTCTGCTCTGTGGGATGACATCGAGTTTACAGGTTAAACAATGTGTTCTCAGTCACAGTTCTTTTCTATGCGGCTAGCCAAGCACCAAAACAACTCTATTCCTCAGGAGTGGAAAGAAAACCTATTTATGCCAGCAGTGCAAACAAATGAAATGAAAGAGAGATTCTGATTCTGCTGTATGATCTGTTTCTCTACTTTGTCTTAGCTTTTCCTGAAGCCCGATGCTCAGCATGGGTGCAAGTTTCTTAACATCTGTGCATGAGAAGAGAAATACAGTCATATTTAAAGCATGGGACTCTGTGCATCTCTCCCTTCAAAACGGTCAAGGTACCTTTGCAAACAAACACCTAAGACTGCTATGCAGGCTCATGATTTTTTTTTTTTTAACTGCAAAATTTCCTAAAATGAAGCAGAAGACCAACTTTACAAATTAGAGTACCAACTTCATTTTAATCAGGAAAGCCAACAGCTCTGTGGGCAGCATCAACACCCACTCATCAGCTAATGCCATTGAGAAACCTGCTCACACAGCTCTGTTCACCTCAAATCACAGAAGACGCTGCCATGGAGATTATAGCTTTGCTTTTTCCACCGTGCACTTTGCCTTACTCTCCGCAGGTGATGTGTTCTTATATGACAGTCCTACTATGATGAAATGAGCATTTTATTCAAATTATTTGGTGACTTCTTGGTCCTTTCCCTTTTTATGAGTTTTAAGTCCACACTTATTGCCTAATCCCTTAATGAGGACCTGAAGTAACCCTTTGTTTCCTATGTTAAATGCTAATGATAGCCTTCCTAGTGATGCAGCTATTTAAACCATCATTACATTTTCTGATTTTTGTGGTAGGGCTGAAAACAAGTCACTGAAGATTTTAAGCTATTTTTTTATTCTGTGAGATGTGACATTTAATAAGCCTTATACAAAAAAACTAAACCTGGCCTAGGCTGGTCATAACATCCCAACCGGCATAAACCTAACATTTCACAAATATATTTAAGCTGCTTCAAAACAGTGTAAGAGATAAAATAAGACCTGGGGAGATGGCTCAGCAGTTAAGAGCACTGGTTGTTCTCCCAGAGGACCCAGGTTTAGTTCCCAGCACCTACATTTAACTTCAGTTCTAAGAGAACCAACACCTTCTTCCGGCCTCTATGTGTACCAAGCATGCCTGCAGTGCATATACATACATGCAGGTACTCACACAGAGATATAAAATAAATGCTACTAAGTCTTTTAATGAAGATATAAATAACACGAAAACTATAGAACATGATTTACTGATGCATGGATATTATAAATAAGTACACAAAGACAAGCAGTATTTACAGCATGAATAGCAGTGCATAGCACTTTAAGGAATTTCAGTTTGGGAAAACAAGAGTATAGATTATATTCCCACATACACAGCAGCCATAGTCCAGCAAGGAAATGAGACTGTCTTGTGTGTTTCAATAAAAGAAAAAAGTGATGAGTTGGTCCACATCTTTTAGACTGGCCCTCCTGGGGGGCAAGGACAAACTTCTAGAGTATAGTGGTCTGTACACTGAGTTATTTGCTCTGCACAGGAAAAGAAAAAGTTTTGGGGTATCCCATGAGGCTGGAAATGCTGTATGAAGAGCCCTGCTTTGCACAGGTCAGTTGTTGCTAACAGTCTGCCCTTCCCAATCTCTTTATCGACAGTGATGATGATTCTAAAATTAGCCCCACATCTAACCCCAGAGAGAGCTGATTTCTGAGGAGCCAGTGCCGCACCAGTAACCCCACCATCCCCCCACCCCCACCCCTCATCCCTGCTCTTCTGCCTCTGGCTACTTTTGTCCCCGACGATGGTGGCCCCAGCAAGCAGACTGATCTCTGAAAACAGTTGCATGGGGTCTGGCAGTGTATTCCTGTAATCCTAGCACTTTCAGAGGGTGAGGCAGGAGGCTAACAAGTTCAAGACTAGTCCAGGCAGATAACTCAGCAATTTAGCAAATACCTGTCTCAAAGTCAGAGAGAGAGAGAGAGAGAGAGAGAGAGAGAGAGAGAGAGAGGGCGGAGGAGAACATAGACACAACTGTGTCATACTCTTGCTCACAAGGTTGGTCATTCTCCACAGCCTTCACAAGCTGCTCCTTAAACACAGCTGTGAAGCCGTCCAACCAACCCGGCTGACCTTTGGATGCCTCCTGTTTTTACGACATTCCTCTTCCAACCTTCCTCCAAAACTGCTGTCTACACTGAAGCCCCTCCGCCCTCATCTCTGAACTCTCACTGCCTCTTGTCTTTTTTTGTGCTTTTCTGTCAACTGCTCTATAGTTACAGAAACCCTACACATCCTACTGAAGGGCCAACTAGCAAGAGAACTATAAACCCCAGAGCATACACTGTGTGTGTGTGTGTGTGTGTGGGGGTGGGTGGGTGGGGGGGTGGTTTTGTACCTATGGAACAGAAATAACAACCACATCTCTATAAAACGCATGGGAGAACACAGAGCACACACTGTGTGTGTATATACCTATTCCCATTTGGATTGTTAGCTGCTGGCTTGAAATGCCAGCTCTTCCTGGAAACAGATGCCCTTTCTCTCAAACCTTTTCCATCACCCACCAGGCTGATGGGTCACAGTGTACTTCTACATACTTGGCAACATGATTTTAATTTTTACAAAAACTTTAAAATTATATTTATTTAGTCAACGTGTGTGTGTGTGTGTGTGTGTGTGTGTGTGTGTGTGTGTGTTGTGTGTGTGTTGAAGAGAGTGTACATATGCCATGGCATGCATCTGGAGGTCACAGCACAGCTATGCTGAGTCATTTCTTTCCTTCTACCACCCTCAGGGATGGGACTCAGGCTGTCAGCCTTGGCAGCAAGCATCTTTACCTGATAAGCCATCTCTCTGGCCCTACATGACAACAACTTTTCTTTCCTTTCTTCTTTCCTTCCTTCTTTCTTTTTTTTTGTTTCTGTGGTTTTTTGACACAAGGTTTCTCTGTGTGTAGCCCTGGCTACAGTGCTGGGATTAATGGCATGAGCCACCATGGCCTGGCAACAACAAGCTTCCCAACAACATCGGCTTCTTAATCCCATGACATGTAGTTCTTCACACAGAATCTTACATAAATGTCTCCCTGGTTTAGTGCAACAGAGAGTGCTATAACATCACTGCTCCTTATGCTGTGCTAAGGACTGAGCTTTCATGCACTCACCTGACTTTCAGCCAAGTGTCGCCCAGTGACATCCACAGCTGCCGCTCATCCGCAGTGACCGAATAGTTTAAAAAATCAACTGTGTCTTTCGTCAACAGTGGGCTCAGTACCGAACTGGCCAGTTCAGGACCGCCTGTTGCCTGCACCACCTAGATGGTGAACAAATCTTATTAGCAAGAAAACAATTATTTGTACACTCTAAAATTCATGCACAAAATCAATTCCAAAAACTAAGCACCATTTCGCTATTTTAAAATTAAAAGTGAGAGAGTGAAAAACAGCTTCTCAAACTGACTTATCCAGAACAAGGTTGTATTACTGTAGAAACTTGAATAGTTTAAGGTCATTCAGGGCACCCAAGTACTGGCTATATGCATCTACTGCTTCCCCTGCAAAACACTAATGGCAGTGCAGACAGCCCTTATCTGCTGACATAACCACCTAGAACTTCTATAACCTTCTGATTTTAGAGATAGCAGTTGCAAATGGCAAATCTGTTATGGAAACTATGAATCCAGAGGGAATACTGTGGAGAGGGAAAGAAAGAAGCCTCCAGGCAGCAGTTTATGCTATACCTGTTGAGCTGTATGAAGCTGAAAAGGATCCAGAGAGAGAGAGAGGGGGGAGGTAAGGGAAGTGGGGGGTGGGTAGAGTTGAGGAGAAGGCAGGAGAAAGGAAGGGAAGGGAGAGGAGGGGAGAGGAGGTACCCCCACCACTCCCCAGAACTCAATTCCAGTAAGTTTCTCTGATTTGATATGGACAGTTTAATGGTCAGCGGGAAGCAGGTGCACACTTTGATAAGAAAAACAATGACAAGTGTGTGTCTGAAAACAACTCCACATCTGCCTCCCTGGAGGCTGTCCTGGCTGAGGGAGGGTCCTTATCTTGTAGCAGACAGGCTGGATAGAGACTTTGTTAGAATCTGGCCTTCTCAGAGATGTGCCGCACAAGAAAGGGTTGTTTATGGTTTTGTTTCCTTTTCTTATTTTTTTTTTTCAAATCCTTCTGAATGGCTCTAGATTGAGGCAATGTTTTTCAGGACAAGGGCTCTGGGTAGGCCATGCTGTTTTGTGCCTCGGTAAACACAGGATTTTCTAGTTCCTCTATCACCCAGAATCCAAGGCAGGCACCACATCTTTTGGGAATCCTTAATGCCAGCATGATTCTGATACAGGCCTTGCCGGGTACCCACTGTCCTCAATTTGTGCACAGTTGTGACATACTACATTGTAATATAAAGCTTAGTTTTCAATTTCTCTTGATGTAACTGACTTCAGATTGCAGAAGACACAACACTGGGGGAATCAATGCAAATATTAAAATATTATGAGTGAAAGCCTTGGGCCAATTCTACTGTGAACACAACCCACCCTGATTAGCCAGCACTACAAGTCTCTGTTTTGTGTCTTTGGATTTTTTAGACAAGGTCTCACTTTGCAGTCTACACGGATCTTGCACTTTGTATGGAATCCACTCTGTCTTCAAACTCACTGCAATCCTCTTGCCTCAGGCTCCCAAGTGCTGGGTGTACCAGGTGTTGAGCCAATATGGCAGGTTCAATTCTTTTTGGTTTGTTGTTTTAGGCTTTCAAAACAAGGTCTTACCATGTAACTCAGGCTAGTCTAGAACTCACTATTCCACCCCAGGCCTTGAAAGTGCTGGGACTGAAGGCACAGGCACCACCACACCCAACTCTGGCACTGCGGCTTTAAACTTCCAACCCTACAAGCATTTGCAGAAAACACACAGAGATGACTAAAGGAGAGAAAGAGTAGGACTGCTATGCCCTCTGGGTTTGCAGAGGGGAAAGGAAACAGATTGGGAAAGAGTTAAGTGCAACAGGTCATAATTTCACATCAACAGATTCAGCAGACATGCATACACACACCCATGCATTATGGCTATGTCTTTGTGGCACAATGAACATGATGAAGAAGAGACTTGCAAGCAAAACACTCAATGTCGCCTGGCTTACAGGAAGCCCTACATGAATGTCCTTTCCCTAGGTCCCCACCATGTAAGATGCCTACAGCCCTGCACGAATGGCGAGAACATTAGTAAGCTGTCTTTTTGGAGAAAGGTAAATATAAAGTGAGTAGATGTTTTTAGATAGGCAGGCTAATCACAATGGCTAACTGTGAGTTGGCAACATGACTTGAGGTGGTTAATAGATACCTATTTGAGACCTCTGAAAATAAAAGCTGCTTTTTAAGCAGGTGATGATACTAAGATAGCATCAAAGGTTTAAAGAGTATATTTTTGTTAGTGAGCGCGAGTTGACTTCTTCCCATTTGGATGAGATGCACCTCATTGTTTTTTTGTTTCTGTTGCTTTTGTTTTTTGACGTAAGGTCTTGCTTTTTAGCCCAGGCTGACTCTCAACTCACCGTGTAGCCTAGGCTGCCCTTGAACTCCTGATTCCATGTCCTTAGCCTCTGGAGTTAGGAATTCCAAACTGCCTAACCAAATCAACTTGTTCTAATTTTTTAAACAAGACTAATTCAACAATAACCAGGTTGTCAGAAATTCAATACAGGTCAATATATGGGCACATCCAGCAACTATTAAGTTCATCTGGACAATAACAATAGACTTTTACCCCTTGATCTGTTAGCAGTCACTCCTACAGCTCTGCTGATAATGCTACTTAGTCTTGTCTGTTTGCAAAGCAAAGCGGGACTCAAATTCTCCATCAGGGCTTTCCTGATCAGCTCTGGGAAGGCAGTTTGCCTTTCATGCCTTTGTTTTCTTGACTTTTCTCTTTTTTAAACTTGAATAAAATGTATGAGAAATATTAAATTTTCTCTGGTTTTCATTAACATTAAAGAACTCAATGATACAAATTTTCATATGTTCTAAATCAAATTGGGTAAAATGTCTATTTTGCATAGCTATATCTTTATTCTTTAGGGAGAAAATAACATACATGATAGAGCAATCACATGATAGGGACAATTTTCATGCTGCTTTGTTATTCCATTAAAATAAAACAGCCAGACTGGAGAAATGGCTGAGTAATTAACAGCAAGGATGGTGCCTCCAGAGGACCTGAGTGAGGGGCTTGTGGTTGCTCGTGACTCCAGCTCTAGGGATTTGATTCTCTGTTC